GAGATACTACAATATGTGCACTTGCTAAATATGCATTTCTTGTTGATTTACTCAAACCAATATTATATTAAATAATATTAAAAATATTAATATGATAAAACTATAATCGTTTTAAAATGATGATGAGGAACGTGTTAATAAAATGCCGTACAGTTTTTTTGCAATTTTCACGGATAGCGGAGAGCAGTGAGGTAAACAGCGACTCTTGGCATCTAGAAGCAAATTGCAGGGAAAAGTGCTCTTTTCCCTTTATCAAGATCGTTACGGTGGCTCTCGTGAGACGCATTGTATTATGCATATACATTTAGACTGCATCCGTAAACTGAACTTTTTTCCGATAGCGCGTCCGTAGAGAAGGCCAACTTAAGCTCGCCACTTCGCCAAAACGTAACCGTACCGCAATATGTAGGTATACGTAATAAAAGCAGATGATAACGACAATATGTTGTACCGTATCTATTTTTTTTGTCATGTTGCATAAATACATACGTGATATTCGCGTCTATTTATTTCCGAGAATTCTCCGCAATGCGGAAAAATTCAGAGTTAATTGCAGTAAGACACACAATATATAATTCACTCATTATATCAGTTTTTAATTATTTCTAATTTCCCATGTACGAGTACAATTGAAGAGTGACATAATTAATAATTAAATTCGTAGCAATAAAACGAGAAGTAAATTATCTTAGCAATTTTTTTTTGTAAAACATTAAAATTATTATAATTGAGTTTCTCATGAAAATCTGTTAGGAGAAAATTCTGAAAAAGTGAAGTATTCTATCTCACTCCAAATCGTTCGATCAAATTTACTGTTCTTCCAGAACGTATACCCGTCGAAACAACGTCCCGGGCGGTGAAATCCGGGCGGACCAACCGCGAAGTGAATAGCGATATATCCGTAGGTGGGCCAGCTTAACATCGCCGATGCCGCTCCTGTGTCGGCAAAACTACATTGAAACGGGAGGGAGAGGGTGAGGGAGGGGAAAGCCTGAACTTGTGCTCGCCTATTTACCGTCGAAGACACGTCGCAAACACATAACTCCGAGGAGTTGCTACCGACCGCGATTTTCGTGCGAGAGAGCGCGCGTATGCGCGTGGCGGGCCGCGTGCGCTGCATCCGATCCGAAGTTGCTTGTGTTCGAGCAGACGGAAAGAAGACTTCCCCGCCGTCGGCGGATCCACTCCTCTCCAGCGGCGACGACGTCCGTCCACGTGAACTTCCGCGAACGGAACTCGCCCTCCCCTCCCCGCTTCCCCTCGGTTTCTTGTCGAGCGGCGAGATTTTCAGATACGAGCTTACGCGCACTTTGAACGACGTTCCAACACAGCGGGGGGAGAAAGTTAGCGGATGAGTCAGAAAAAGCCGCCGTCACAGTGGAGGACATACTCCGTTGTTGCGGCGAGTGTTGGTGCCGGCAACAACTTTCGAGTTAATCAACCTGACGTTAGCAGTTTCCTCTCCCTTATCATCTCTGACGTCTCTAGAGAAGAGGAAATTGGGAGGGCCACGATATACACAGAAGATTAACACTGTCTATCAATTTTGGCGTTTCGATGCAGAGCGAGCGGCTTGCTCTCGGAAAATATTTTTTTTCGCGAAGCGATACGTGCATGCTTCTCGCAAGACTTGTTCGAATTCAGTGAGGATTACACAAGTATAACATGAATCAAATTTTTTTTACCGAATTGAACAGTTCGACAAACGTCAAAGAATTCTGCGAATTATGAAAATTTCCCAACGCGAGAGATACTTTTCAAGCGAATGCGTGATTTAAGCGTGACGGAAATGTCTGTGAAGTTAAAGCTAATGGATCGAGTCTCCCGTTCTCTCCTATCTTCGTTTGGTTAAAATATTACGGTATCGACGTATGGAGATATCTGGGAGGCTCTCCCCGATGGGCACTTTAACTCGAATGTTCTTCACGATAATTTAAAGCTCACGTCTCTGTCGGTGTCAGCCAACAGCGTCAGACGTGTTTCTCGATTATTTTCTTTTTTTTCTTGCGCCCTCGCTCTCATATAGGGATCTGCACACGATGTTTCGCTTGACAAAGGGCGGTTGGAAAGGTGTTTTTCGCCGGTGGCAATTTTTTTTTTCATCGATCTCTCGCGTACCGTGTCCGTAATTAGGTCAAGAGAAATGGAGATGTCTACGAGTCGAATCGACCATTATCGAAATCCGTTGCTCGTAAATTCCCCGCGATACCATCCGGCAACTGCCGCTGATGCCAGGGCCCCAACAGGGCTGTCGATTAGCGGATTAGTATTATCGGCCTCCGTCGTGCCATCATTGGCGTAGCGGAACTCAAAGGGGAGGCATAAAGCCTTTTCGCGTTTACGATGGAAAGATATTGCGCCGAAGTCCGCAACAAGATCGCGCTCGGATTGCATCATCGACGTATCATCGCGATCGTTTAACGGCGATCTTAATTTTATGTTCGTGGAAACGCGGGGCGGGAGGCGGTCTGTAATAATGTGTGGCAAGGATAGGAAAGTAATCACGTCTTTATCTCCCATCACCCGTGACTACCGGATAATAGCCGCGATCACCGTTAATATTTTAAATCGGCTTCCGACCGAATTTGTACTTTAACCTTGCAGTTTAAGCGCGAATTTCGAAGTACGGTCTCTTTAGATGCTTCCGACGATAAGTCAAAGCGGCGCATTAAGCGCCCCTCGGAAAGACAGTAGCAGCTATTCCCTCTAATGGCGTCAAAGTTGATCGAAACCTTTCTAGCTATGTCGTAAGATTAAAGTCCTGAAACGCTGCTTTTCTGCTCCATTAGTCTTAGGGAAGCCTCACAAAACCTTAAGGCTTCTAAGAGTGTAATTAATAAAGAACTTTTCTTTACGCCGGCACAGCACGGGCGGGCAAACAACAGTTATACACAAATTTCCTTTTTTCCTTGATTAATTTAATGTTTTAAGTAACTTTTGGTGTCGTATATGATATTACAATTACGAGAATTCACATTTTCATTTGTCATAATTTAATGTATTATCTTCTGTACGTGTGCACTTGTTTGCTTTTAATTTCCAACGCGCTCCTTTTCTCGTGTTTCCTCACGATATGCAAATGCTCAATTTCAAAATACTATATAAATGTAAAATTGGAGAGAGTAAATAGGCAATCAATTATTCAGCTGATATCAACTAGCGATTATTAACATTCGCGTGTTCCAAGCGCGCGAGAGACGAGGTACGTGCAAATAGAAGGAAATAGAAGAGATTAATATGACTGAAACAGAAACGGCAGAAACGTGTCTTATTACTTTTCTGCATTGCATCTGCTTTCACAAATATCTCGTTCGCCTTGAACGAAGCTTACATGCAGTTATGACGACAGAGCGGAAAATACATTTTTACTGCTTCAGTCTAGTCTAGTCTGGTGATCAAGAGACACAATTTTGTCAGATAAGTTGCGAGCAAAAAAAAACGCGGTGTGCATTTTCCTCCTCTGAATGCCACGATATATATAAACACCTTCGCAATCACATGCAGTTACGTGTGACGCAATAGAGTCTCGGAGTGTCTCGACACAGATAATCCATCTATGGAATTATAGACGTGAGATCGCAATAAAGATCGCCGAACGGCAAGCAGGATTATTTTGCTCGAGAGGAAAAACTCGAGAAAAGACCGATGCGAGGCTTTTCTCGCAAAAGTGAAGAAGATTAAAAAAGAGTATGCTCGCGAGGCTAAGTGTAAAGTGAAAGGACGCGTTTTCTAACAAGCAAAAATCTCGCTTCTTACAGACGCGAACAAGAATTTACGACTGTTTATGAAGCTGCGATATAAGTTACGCGCGAAGATTGGAAGATACGAACGGGCGCGTTATGTTTCGCGAAAAAAATTCTGGCCTGGTTTTAACGGCAGCGCGCGAAACGAAACGTATAGTGAATATGTTTCGCGTTGTGTCAATAAATACTTCGTTGCAGCACTGGACTACCGCGCGGGGTTGTCGAGAACGACGGTGCGCGCACACAACGGGCGTGTAGGTAGAGCGAATCAACAGCAAGCGACTTCGTGATTGTCCGAAGGCGCGAGAGAATACGCGCGGTAATAAAAATTAATAGCTCCCGCGGTCAGCTTGTCTACATTCTTCTTTTTTTTTGATAGCCGCTTGCTATACTCGTACCATTTCTACACGTGCATCGTTACATAATTCTACGTTACTGCATTGCTGCAGTCGCGGCGGCGGCGGCGGCGGCGGCGACTACAGTGCTCCCTTGCAACGAAGGGCTAGCCGAACTCGGCGAATCGAAAATGGGTAGCCTTATATTATAGTCAGTTCGCATAACTTTGGACTTTATCCCCAGAAGTCATACGAAATATGACTTTGGGAATAAAGTCCAAAGTTACGCGACACACGGGGTCAGTTCATAAATCTCACGTGAATTTTTGAGCAATTCGAAAGAAGATATATATGAAACGTATATAACTTAGTGTATTAATCAGCAATGCGCGTTTTTCTTTTCGTTCTCGACAATGTACGTGTTACCGTATACACAATTTATTACCGACATTTTTTTCGGTCTATCCGTATCAGAAATAGAGACAATGACAAACGATAATACCGTAATATGATAGATGTGCATTAATCTACGGACTGTTCTAAAAAAGAAACAGATGTTGCTGTCACGATTAAAAATACGGAGAAAAGTTTAACCAAATAAACCAATAATGCCCGCAAAAGTAAAACAATGGAAATTTATTACAATATTATAATTTATTAAATTAGAATATAGAGAGGTTCTATTATTAATTACCGCGCAATCGTTAAAAGCGAAGATTTTTCGAGAAGATTATTCACGTAAAGAAGTTAAAGTTTCTTACAATGCTTTTCATTGACGTCGTCAGATCACGTATATGTGTATATGTGTATGTGTGCCAAAACGATACATGACTCATTTATGATGCGAAACTACTCGACCGTCTAAACTGCTCTGTCGGCAGTAAGAGATGGCTGAAAAGCAATTGCTGGTGATCGAACTCACCGGACTGTGCTCTGTGCGCGGGTATGGCGGGGGCGGGCGGCAATCCGGCGATGCTGCAAAGCGTCTGTCCACTGCCATACTTGATGCTCCTGCAGTGACACGGCGTGGTGGGCGTCGTCAGCCCCTCGTTGTCCCTGACGGTGGCCCCGATCACCGAGATCTCGTCGAGCTCGTGCCCGCTGTCGTAATGGCACAGTCTCGTCGCGCTGGTGCTGGCCCCGCCACCCCCGACGCCGCTATCCTCCCCGGCACCGGCGTCGGAACGACCGCCGCCGGTGCCCCTGCCCCCCGTTCGGCCCCTAAGCGACTGCACCAGTCGCTTGGCGCCCGAAGACATTCCACGGAGGTGATCCAGCCTTCCGGTCTTTGTTTCCTCTTGTCCTAGCCAAAACCGCCCGAGTACACGCCCGGGGATATCCACCTAAAATTGCGCCATGCCTTTTAATCGCCGAACCGTGACGGTATTAAATTGCTGCATAAGTCTTGTTCGCTAGTGAGAACAAGGTTTTGAAGTTGCAATTTCCGTAAACATTCTTGTATTTAAGATCGTATTGTATTGCGCCCGCCGCGTTATCTGTTTCCTGTTTTTTTTTTTTTCATATACTTCCCGGATTTTTTCTTCAAGGTCTATACAGCATGAAATTTTGAAACGTGGACATTTGCAGCATCGCTGTTTAGTACCACACAAATGATTTTTACTGTATCTATTTTATTATTTTATGTAAATTATATTATTTTATTATATTTTATAACATTGTAGTTAAATTGAGATTCTCGTAAAATGATATTTTACGTCGACTGCACTAATAATAATAATAATTTATTATATGCAATGGTTTATAATTTTTTTTGTCGATATTACATAAATCATAGAGATAAAAATAAATAGCAGAGCACACAATAGGTGAAGCAGCAGCCGAGCTGATATGCCCAACCTGAACATTTATTTATAATTATAATTGATATTATGTTGTATACATTATTTGTTATCAGTTTTAAATTAATGAAAATGAAAAGTTTACAAACATTAAGCGAATTCTAGTAGCAAAGAGTGAACATTATATATGATTGAATAAACATACATGAAACATAGTCAAAATACAATTTAACACTATACAAACTATATATGTATTATTAGTGATTTTAATTTACACAAGTTCTTCCAAATACTATGGTAAAATTCCAAATACTATGGATAGAATTTATGCAGCAATTTAATACAAATGAATACAATAACATTTACAATAATCGGTTGATAAATGATCTAAGTCGTAATTTCGAACGGCTCTCCGTCTGACCATACGAGACTTATATCTACTTGTCGCATCGGAGAGAGAGTATGAAATGAATGATGTCCCTCTGAGAAACAAATCACTCATAAAAATTGAAATTCACCGGTGTGCCTGAAGCTACGTAATAGTTCAGCTTGCGCGGAATAAAAATTTGCCCATTTTTAGCCCTGACAGACATTTATGATAAATGATCTAGACGGACACATACATCTCCTTTAGTCCCTATCTTTCCGTCTTATCGATTTTGTCTAGGAGCTTTGCTTAGAAGAATATGTGATAACTTTGGTAATACATGATAAATTGCGTTTTATCCTTGCGCTCGTGTATTGCATTTTACTAAAGAGAAAAAAATATGTTTATGAAATATTTCGCATGTCGAAATTGAATAATCTATAATTATCATAATTCAGAAATAGATAGATAAGAATGTAGAGTTATAATCTAGGCATAAACTTTAATGAAGTATTTTAATACGCTAATTTTATGCTAAAGATAGCTGATTTTATGCTAAACGATGTACTCTTGTGATAACCATACTTGCGTATACCCGTGTATACTTGTGAAGCAAAGTACGACGATCTTCGGAGGGATTATCGGGATTAAAGTCCAGACGTGAAAGGGTCTTCGACCCTGGCTCGTCTCTACACAATAAGAACACGGTTACCTAAGCCGGATGATGGAGGTCAAGAGAATGGGGCGACGGCACTCTCGAATTCTGACGCGACGCGGAATGTACTTACCACGTGGTGATGCCGCCCCGCAGTGGTAGCTCTGCTCTCTGCTGACTACGTGTACCGCCAACGGTAACGCCGCGCACGATCGCGACCGGTGTCACCGAGCGTAGCACATGATGATCGCTCTTCTCTTGATCCCCGGCACGCGTGCCACACGCGGTCCACGGCACTCCGCTTCCGCGCCTCGGAACCCGGGCTGCCGCGCTACCGATTGTTACTCGACGAGCAGCCGCCCGACGACGAGCACCGTTCGTACGCACCGACGTGAGGAGCAGCGACGACGGCCGAGGAGCACCGTAGAGGGTCGCGCGACGATCGGCGGCATACCAAGCGAGCACCCCGCTCGTCGAGCACGTCGCCCAGGTCGCCTCTCCGACACCGATCGCAACGACACGCTAACGATCACTGTGCGTCGCGATCGCGATGGTAGCGGCGGCGGCGGCGCGCGTGCACTTTTTGCGAACGGTGATCGACACGGGGCGTACGAGGCACGCGTCGCTCGCCACGCGATCGTACGCGACGACTCGTCGAGCGTCGAGCGACATGCCGCGATGACTACGGTCGGCCCGATGGCGCGCGTTCACCCGCCCTGGGCACCCCCTCGTCGGCCACGCTCTTTCTACGTCGGCACACTCTCTCTCGCCAACAGCCGCGACAACAACGGATGACGAACGGGGTCCGTGTACCTCCCTCGCGACCGGGGTATACCCGGTGGCCCGATATTGACGCCGACAGACCCTCTTTAAGGGACGGCCGACGTGCAACAAGTGTCTCGAGCGACGACACTCGTCTCACGTGCCGCTGCTGCGCTCTCGTCTACTCCACGTTCAACCACTCTCGCTGATACACTCGATACGCCGCGTTCGATTCCCCGCCGTCGTCTTCGAGGTACGTGGGCACAGCGCGACAGTACCTGCGGGCAGAACATAGAAGACGAAAATTATTCAATGAAGGGTGCTAGCTGAAAATTACGTTGAAAGATATTGAGACCTCAAATCGATCTAACATATTTCCAATGAGAACGTTTGAGTTCTTTGTCCTTAGGCCAGATAGAGTTCTATACGTGCAAGATATATCTATATACACATTAATTAATAATTCAAAATAATAATTGAAATAATATTGTGTCAATAATTATAATAATTATATCAATAATTGTAATAATTCAGTACAATTATATTGAGACAAAAGCATGAGCACAACAATTGATCGGTTACTGTGCGGATTTGGACGGAAATACGAAGTTAGATTGGCTCGCGTTGTTTCAACAGATATCGATGAGTTTCGTGAGCGCGAACGACGTTACGACCCGGAGAAAACCCGGGCACAGGAGATTCATGAACTCTCTTGCTAGGGCCAGAGACTTCTCTTTAAGAGCAAAGCGCTCGACGTTGATGGAGAAGTAATGAGCTGGAGATTAGGATGTGGCCCGCTCGAAATTGCTAATATCGATTATGCCGAACCTCAAGTTGCGCGGAACGTTTCATACGTTCGTTACACTCAGATTAATCTCACGGGAATTGGGGCAGCAAATGGATCGTAACGATCTAACATATCTCCAATGAGAACATTCAAGTTGTTCTTAGGCCAGACAGAATTTCTGTACATACGAGATACACATATATCCTTATATTAATCTATTTATTAATTCAAAATAATGATTAAAATAATATTGTGTCAATAATTATAATAATTCAATACAATTATATTAAGATAAAAGCATGGACAATAATATGATCGATTACTTCGCGAATAAGTTCCATTCGATTGTGCTAAAGTGGCTGCGATAACTTTAATCTCAAAGCTAGAGCATAAGAGAAATCCTCTGAAATTAAGAGGAAAATATTCTATGCACAATATCTAACAGTTAGAATAATTTAATCTTGCCTTTGCAGTACAAGTCTTACGCACTATTCTATGTAACAGCTACAAGGTCGAAATTTTTAAATCAGTTTTTAACCAGCGCATTGACACACGTATGCACCCTGTCGGGTGATGAGATGATGGATGCGTCGTCGCATTAGCAGTATGCAAATTCTGTGCGGCATGGAGATATAAGTATGAACCGGTAGGGAGAAAGGGGGATGGCGGCTGGATGAAGGAGAAAAGGGCATTGTACGTATACGAGAATAGGACCAAGCAGATTCTGAATATATAGGGACATTGACCTGACGTATTATTTTGCCCCCTCAGTCTCGCGCGCGAGAAAGGCAGGGTGCTCAATCGTTTGACGCGTCGCGACGCGCGAAAAAATGCCCCTGCGATATTTCACATTACAACACGAAAGCGACTTGTTATCTCGCGGAAAAAGATTTGCGCCGTCCTTTATCTTTATTTCTCATAGATTTATCATAGATCTGGATGATGTTATCGCTACGAATTGCGAAGATTAAGAAAACGGGGATACACGACAACGCTGAACTTTTTAAAATAACAATAACGTGAATTTTGTTACGATATTGTTATTTGCCAGTATCTTGTTATAAATTACAAGAGACTGGCAATGAATTTATTGAAATATGTCTCGCCTCCCAACGAACGCGACGCGATTTGGTTTATCCGCTGCACCATTTCGCTTTCTTACGGATCGATCGATAATTAATTAGCCGGCGGGGTACGACGTCACGATGTGCTCGATCTTCGAGCAGTGCGTTAAATTGATTTCGCATAACAAAGAACAATGGCTGTCGTATACGGGATGAATATTAGGAGCCCTTGCACAGCATCGGATAAATTATGTAGGCAACGAGAGTCTGGTTTTATTGCCGGCGGGGTCGTCGTGCCGCTGCAATCCAGGCGTAAACTCGACGGCTCTCTCATATGGAAATCGTAACTTGAAAGTATAATATGGAAAAAAATATCCGTCGGTGGTCTACGTTACCAGAGCACGTTTGTTTTAGCTTATAAAAATTCCGGCGAGAATCGAAGTGTATTTATATCTCGGACGAGAGAAGAGTGCCGGGTCTCTCTGGAAAGCGAGTTAAAAGTTTACGGGGGTTACGGGCGTTCTCCGATAAATCATCCGCTGAGAGGCCTCTGCCTTAAAGATTTAGGCGGAGGAGGCCAGATAGATCTTGAGCAAATCGCTAAATATTGCGCAACAGCCGAAGATTCGATTTGCTTTTTGTCGGTTTGTAGAAATAACGAGCGTATATATTTAATTTCGCAATATCGGAAACGGAAAGAAAACGTTTCCGCCTGCCGAAATAAATAGAATTTCAGGTGAAACATAACGCGTAAAGCGATTTGCAATTTGATATACGGGTTAATGAAAATAAATATATAAATGAATGTTGCGCGCTTCATCCGGA